AAAGTCGCGTTTGCCCCCGCGCCGGGAGCCCCTCGTGCGAGCCCGGCCCCTGCAGCTGCGTTCGGGCAGGGCCGGAGCGTTTCCAACTTTGTTGCGTTTGAGAGAAACCCCCGGGTTTCAACGTGTTCCGCTGCAGCTCTGGCCTTGGCGAGGAGCTCGCCCGGTCTCCCCTGCTCCCAGCAAAGCTCTGCTTAAGCTCTTGCTGCTTTGGAACACCCTTTGGCCGGTGGCTTTAGAGCAGGGCTCCGACGAGGTCACAGTTCGGGCAGGGCCGGAGCGTTTCCAACTTTGTTGCGTTTGAGAGAAACCCCCGGGTTTCAACGTGTTCCGCTGCAGCTCTGGCCTTGGCGAGGAGCTCGCCCGGTCTCCCCTGCTCCCAGCAAAGCTCTGCTTAAGCTCTTGCTGCTTTGGAACACCCTTTGGCCGGTGGCTTTAGAGCAGGGCTCCGACGAGGTCACAAGCCCTTCAACTACATTCAGCCACTTCTGGCACATTTGGAAGTCTTTGGAGCAGTCCCAGCTATCGAGTTCAAGGATGCTCGGGCATTCCCAGGTTGGGAATCGGCCCCCGCGGTTAGTGGGAGAGGCAGAAATTGCTACTGTCCGAGAAAACGCTTTAGCCTCTGCTCTTTGGTCCTAGCTGTGTTTGTTGCTGCTCTGAGCCTGCTCCGCATTCAGAAATGCAGCCGGGCGACATGGGCGCATATTCCCTCCACTCACCTATTTTTCCCTCCTCTTGCAGGAAGAGGATTGTTGGAAGAAGCCTGACCCTTGGACCCTGAGTCAGATGTGGAAGGCAGCCTGGGTTTCCCCGTGAGCAGCTGGCACAGTGCGCACAAGTGCTCTTCCCCGCGGAGGCTCCTGGAGGTGCCGAAGTCCTCGTGCAGACATGGCCTTTCAAAGGGCGGAGGGGATGTCCGTCATCCAGGCCTTGGCGATGACGGTGGCAGAGATCCCCGTGTTTGTTTACACGACATTTGGACAGGTATAAGAGGCAAAAAAGGCTTTTCTGACTGGTTCCTTGGACTTTCTTTTTGGGGAAAGAAAATCTTTCTTGTCTGCAGAGAAAAAACGAGTCAGCTTTAGTTGAGAGGGATAGAGCCCCGGGGGATGATGCAGGCAGAATTTAGCAATTTTCGTGCATCCCACCGAGGGAGAACTCTTGGATTTTACCTCCCTTGTCTTCAAAGGCACTAAAACAAGATTTTAATTTTAAAGATGATTAATATACTTCCCTATTTTAATAAGGCAGCACTTGGGACAATAAAGTGCAGTTATGTACTGAGATTTCAGACCTGGATCTGGATAAACTGGATCCCAACTGTTCAGGCCGGATGAAAACTTTGTCGGGTGTTTTGATAACGTGCACATTGAGACCACGTTCTGTAGGTTCTGTCAGAAGGAGGCTATTCACTTTCTGTGCTATTTAGTAGTAGTTGTATAGTGGGGGTTGTGTTTTGTAGGTGGGAAAGAGAATGGCAAAGTACATTTCAGATCTGTGATGTTTAAGACTACTTAAAAAAAAAAAAGCCAAAGTACATTTCAGATCTATGATGTTTAAGACTACTTGAAAAAAAAAAGAAAAAGGGTGGTGGAATTAGTTTTTCATTATTGCTCTTTCATATCTTTTGTGTTTAAAGTCTGTCTTCTCTCAGCTGCGGCTCTCTCCAGGCCTGCGTAAGGTGCTGTTTGCTACAGCTCTTGGGACGGTTGCCTTGGCTCTTGCAGCTCATCAGCTGAAGCGTCGGCGGCGTCGGAAGAAACAAATCGCTCCGGAGAAGTGCGGCATTAAACCTGGAGGGATCACGGTGCCCATCTTGCCAACCAGAAGGATTCCTTCTGTGAAGAAAGGTTGGCCTTGCAGAAAGGAGAAAAAAAACAAAAGCTTTAATGGAGGGTGCAAAGAGAATATTACTAACATAGTGTTCAAGGAAAGAGGGTGTCCTGGGAGTGAGGGGACTATGGAAAGATACAGGCAAGTGGGAGGAGAGGAAAGCAAAGCAGTTTCTGTGTAGTGATGCAAAATGAAATTAAGGACCTGAAACAGTGCCCGTGGACAGGGTTAGAGGAGGAAAAAGAGAGACCCTTTACAAAGGTTTGTAGTTCTCATCCCCCTTCACACAGAAACTATGGCCCCATTAGGCATGCCCAAACTCTAACTGCCGCAATCGTGCAGTGACCTGGCTCTGTACTGATCGTGGCAGTGCCAGGGTGGCACCTCGCTCATTGGTCACCTGCACAGCTGCCTTGGTGGGGCTGGAGGGAGAGGAGAAGGTGACATGGGATGAACTGAGGAGGTAGGAGTGTTCATCTAGCTCCAGGCTGGGCTCCCTGGCCTTGGGCAGCTTCTTCACCTGCTTCTTTTGGCGTAGACTGACCCAGCTGCCCAGCAAAGCGCTGCAGGGATTAATGTTATGAAATGTATGAAAATCTTCCAACATATTTAGTAAAAAGGGAGTCCTGCCTGTGCTGGCAGCTGCTACATCAGTGCTCTGAGGTGCCTGAGGGAAGCTGGAGGAGTTTGTCTCCTTGATGCTTTCCATTTGAACCTGCCTTCTGTCACTGAAAGAGGTGAATATTCATCCCACAACGTCAGTTCCCCACTAATACTGACTTCTCAGTGTCTCAAAGCCAAACAGATTATACAGCAGATCCATGACTCATTTCTAGGTGCTGGATGCTGCTGTAAAGTCACACTTGACAGGGTGCTGTTCCCCTCCCTATTCACAGCTGCAGCAAATTGCTTTGCTTCGTACCAGGTTTTCCAATAACTGCAG